TGATGGATGGATGGATGATGGATGGATGGATGATGCTCTACAGCAGCAGATGTTGATGTTTAGAACATTTCTGAAGAACCTTCTAGAACTGAAAACTTATTCTGATGAGGAGGAACATTAAACAGGAAGTTCCAGTAGGGGAGCTAATGAAGCTAATGGGGCTAAATAAGCTAGTTAGGCTAAGGAAGTTAATGAAGCTAGTTAGGCTAATGAGGCTAATAAAGCTAGTTAGGCTAATGAAGTTAGTTAGGCTAATGAAGCTAGTGAGGGACCCCCCTTCATGGAGGCAGAAGGTCCGTGGCTGCAGGTCCAGAACCCGGGATCTCTGGTCCCGCTCAGACTCGGACCCGGTGTTCCTTCTAACTGTTGCATAACTCCTGAAGGTGACGGAGGGGGCGGGACTTCCGCCCGGACTCTCTAACAGGGAAGTCGTCGTGTTACTTTCTCTCAGCGTCACGGTTCTGCTTCGTGGGAGAAAACTCGCCAAATCAGCGGATCGAAGCTGTTCCGACGGGCGGAAATCCGACCAGGGCGAGGTCCGGTTCCAGCCCCGCTCTGCTGAGGTCCATCCGAACCGGGCTGCCAGGGAGGGAGTGAGCCGGCAGGAGGCGGAGGGTGAGGGTGAGACCCACGGCAGGCTGAGTGAGTGAGAGAGTGGGTCTGAGTACCTGTGGAGCTGAGTCTGAGTGGGTTGTCACGTCTGTGGAAATATGGGTCTGTCTGTGGAGCAGCAGGTGGTGGTGGGGGGATGTTCTGGATCTATACAGCCAGTATAGATCCAGAACATCCAGAACCTTCAGCTGTTTGGAAGAATCAGCTCAGCTCAGCAGAGACAAACAACCTTTCACACTCAGTCACACCTTAGGAGGATTTAAAGACAGTTAACCTAACAGCCATGTTTTTGGACTGTGGGAGGAAGTTGGAGTACCCAGAGAGAACCCACGCATGCTCAGGGAGAACATGCAGACTCCATGCAGAAAGACACCGGCTCTTTCGGACCTAGAAATCAGACCTAGAACCTTCTTGCTGCAAGGCCTGCTGCCTTTTAGCCCCAGCTGGTTTCCCTTAGAAAGAAAAGTTGGAATCTGGTTGATCTGGATCTACGAAGTGACCTGAGATGATAGGATGTGAATTGGAGCTATAGAAATAAACTGAATAGAATTGAATGGAGTTGGTCATAGTCTGTGGGTCTGAGTGGGTCATGGTCTGAGTGGGTCATGGTCTGAGTGGGTCAGGGTGTGAGTGGGTCAGGGTGTGAGTGGGTCATGGTGTGAGTGGGTCAGGGTGTGAGTGGTTCAGGGTCTGAGTGGGTCATGGTGTGAGTGGGTCAGGGTCTGAGTGGGTCAGGGTGTGAGTGGGTCAGGGTGTGAGTGGGTCAGGGTGTGAGTGGGTCAGGGTGTGAGTGGGTCATGGTGTGAGACGTGGGTTCCTGTTTCTTACGGGTGATAAGGGGAGGTGGATGAGGCCCCGCTGGGCCCTCAGTGATTTTAATTGTCGCTCTGCTCTGGTTTTCCAGGTTGAGGATTATTAATCCAGGATGACTCCTGTTTAATCCTGAGAAGATGCTGGATTCTAACCCCACCAGCTGAACCAGAACACATGAGCCTGTGATGAACCAGGACGTAGACGGACCCTCCCCTATCCCGCTCCTTTTGTCTGAATCCAGGACACTGACCGCTCCCTGTTTATCTGGGCCATGTTCCGGAAAAGAAGCTCCCTCATTCTATGCGGAACCTTCCTGTTTGTCACCTGGAACGCCGTGCTGGTGCTGCTGCTGTGGGGGAGAGCTCCATCCGGCCAGGGGGGCGAGCGGCGGGGGGATCCGGTGCCGATGCCCACCAGCGACATGGTGGGAGACGTGATCCGTATCGCCGAGTCCTTTGAATCGGAGCTGGAAAAGCAGAAGGCCATCCTGTCCCAGATCCTGAGCCACCGGTCGCTCTGGAAGCCGTCGGACGGAAAGAGGACGAAGGTCAGCGCCCCCGCCCAGCCCGTCATTCCCATCCTGGTGATGGCGTGTAACCGCATCACGGTGAGGCGCTGCCTGGACAAGCTGCTGCAGCACCGGCCCTCCGCAGAGCTCCACCCCATCATAGTGAGCCAGGACTGCGGGCACGCCGACACCGCCGCCGTCATCAGCTCCTATGGAGATAAGGTGGCCCATCTGAAGCAGCCGGACCTTTCCGACATTCCCGTCCGTCCTGAGCACAAGAAGTTTCAGGGTTACTACAAGATCTCCAGACACTACCGCTGGGCCCTGAACCAGGTCTTCAGGACCATGTCCCACTCGTCTGTGGTGATCGTGGAGGACGACCTGGAGGTACCTGCTGTCCCTCAGTCTGCGGCAGGGGGGACGCTCCTCTATCCTGCAGCTTCAGGTGTGTCCTCAGTCCAACGCAGCCAGTAGGAGAAAGGAGGAGGTCCTTAGGACGTCTTAGATGGTCACTGTGACCCAGGGGCCGATTTAGGAAATGTGGGGCCCTGGGCAAAGACAGGCAGGGGCCCCTCTGAATGGAGAAGACATAGAACAGACCCATCCACCAGATAGAGAAATGTTAA